GCCCTCATTCTGGCGCTCTAAGAGAAAAAACAAACGCACACTCTTGCTTGGACCATAGGAAAGAGAGAAAGTACAGGAAACAGCAGCTTTGGTCTTATAACTATCGCTTCCCTGGCCTCTCCTGTTACAGCAAGTTGCAATGGACACTCACGCCTTGGTTCTCTGGCATGGAACAGTAACAGTAATAATAATAAGAATAAATAACAACAAGAGTGATGATGATAGCACTCACTATGCACCAGACACAGTGCTCAGCTCTTGACCCACATGATCTCATTTGACCCTCACAAGCAGGGGCTGTTATTCACATTCTACAGGGGAAGAAACTGAGGCAGTCAAGTGACTTGTGCAAGGTTACACCAGGCCACATGAACACATTCCCACACTTGTTTTCTGCTATTGGCTGAGCTACATGAAACACACCTGCACTCGCGCGCGTGCACGCGCACGCGCGCACACACACACACACACACACACAGAGTCAGGCTTGTCCATCTGGTGACTACAGGGGATCAACGAAGCAATGACCCATGGGTTTCTTTCTTTCGCTGCCATTTGCATTTCCTTTCCTGGGTTTTTAAGGAAGAGGCTTTAAACAAAGGGGTTCCCCCAACCCAAAAAGTTGTGGCCCTCATCCAATGACTTGCAGTCAGTCAGTCATTAAACATTTGTTAAGTGCCTACTATGTGCCAAGCACTGTGTTAAATGCTGGGGATGCAAAAAGAGGCAAAAGCCAGTGCCTGCCCTCAAGGAGCTCACGGTCTAATGGAGGACACAAGCACACCTGTACAAACTAGCTTTGGCCAGAATAAATAGGAAGAGATGAAGAGAGGGAGGGCACTAGAACTAAGAGGGGAGCTTCCCGTCCAAGGTGACGTTTCAGCTGAGACTGGAAGGGAGGTCAGTAGTCAGAGGGGGAGCGTCCCAGGCAGAAGGGCCCAGAGATGAGGGCCTGGTTTGTGGACCCGCCAGGAAACCAGTGTCACCGCATCAAAAAAAGTGTGTGGTGGGGACTGGCAGGGGGCTGGTTATGAAGGGCTTCTGATGCCAAATAGAACATTTGTTATTTGATTCTTGAGACCATAGGGAGCCACTGGAGTTTATTGATTTGGGGGTGACGTGGTCACACCTGTGCTTTAGGAAAGTCACTTTGGGAGGAGACTTGAGGCAGCCCCCCACTCCCCCATCCCCCATTGCAATAGTCTGGGCCTGCACCAGCATGGGAACAGTGACAGAGAAGAGAAGGGGGAATTGTAGAGAAATATTGCAGAAGAGAGACGGACAGGCCTAGGCAACGCATTGGATGGGGGTGGCAGAGAGCGGAGCGGGGAGAGATGGGAGGCGTCCAGGTTGATATCAAGGTGGTGAACTTGGGGAAAACTGCCTAGTAGTCAATGTCAATATAGTCAATGAGCATTTATTAAGTACCTCCTGAGTGCCAGGAATGCAAAGGTTCAGCCCACCAGGAGCTCCGTTCTAATGAGGGAGGGGAAGGGAAGAGACCACAGGCAGACAGCAGGCCCTTCACTTTATTGCACTTTGAAAACTCTGTGTTTTTACAAACTGAAGATTTGTGGCCACAAACGGCTCCGGATCCAGCAAGTCCCTCAGCACCATTTCCCCAACAGCAGGGGCCACGTCATGTCACAGTTTGGGAATGCTCCAACTATTCCCAATGTTTTCATTATTGTGCTTGTCTGTTAAGGTGATCAAGTGATCTTTGATGTTACTGTTGTCATTGTTTTGGGGCCCCACAAACCCCGCCCATATAAAGCATCACATTTAATAGATAAATGCTGTGTGTGTATTCTGACTGCCCCACCAACCTGCCAGCATTTCCTGAGACAAAACAATATTGAATTTAGGCCAATTAATGATCCTACATTGTCCTACAACGGTTCAAGTGAATGGAGGAGTTGATTGATGTGGCAAAGTCATCGTGATCTGATTATAAGAAAGTGCCACACCCCAACCTTCAGCAACGGCCACCCAGCAGTCATCAGCTGAAGATCCTCCAGCTAAAAGATTAAGACTTGCTGAAAGCTCAGGTGATGGTCATCATTTTTTTTTTAAGCAATAATGTAGGTTTAAGTGGGGTTTAAGGTATGTGCATTTTTCTTTAGACAATTATTGCACACTTACTAGGGGGCAGCTAGGAGGTAGATAGAGTGCCCTTCTGGAGTCGGGAAGACTCATCCTTGTGAGTTCAAATCCGGCCTCAGACACTTACTAGCTGTGTGAGCCTGAGCAAGTCACTTCACTTTGCCTCAGTCCTAAACTGTAAAATGAGCTGGAGAAGGAAATGGTAAACCACTCCAGTATCTGTGCCAAGAAAACCCCAAAAGGGGTCACGAAGAGTTGGCCGAGATTGAACAACATCAAACATAATAGACTACCGAATAGTGTAAACGTAACTTTGATATGCACTGGGAAACCCCAGAAGTTGTGTGGCTCTGTTTATTAAGATATTCCTCCGGTCTGGACCGAATTTGCACTACCTCCGAGGTGTGCCTGTACTTTGGACAGCCGGTCTCTTGGAGCTCTGCTGAGTCACCCACCTGCCGGCCGCTGGAGTTTTCCAGGAATCTGGTATGAAGAAAGCTGCTACAATCTAGTGCTTTGTCTCAGCTAGATGGCAAACAAAACACATACACACACAAACACTATGGCAGAAACTCACCCTGGACAGGTGGGGTGGAAATACTCAGAGCCGTATCCTAAGAATGGGCGTCGTTGAGAACTGGTAATCCCCGCCAGAGGCGGCAGGACGCATTCCCAATAATACCCAGATTGTGGTGCAGTACTTGTCGGGGTCGCTTATCGATGCCAGGCTTGGGAGAGGCTCACATAGAGGGAGTTTCTTTATTGGGATCACAAACTAGGGTCGGATCTACTGCTAACTATCTCAGGAGCAGAAGAGAGGACAGGGTCAGACCCCTGCAGGAGGTCCAGAGTGTCATCCTGTCAAGATGCCCGACGCACAATTAATAGTGGAAAAGTCCAAACTGTGGCATCACCTAAAGTCTTTATGGGCATTGGGACCACTTAGCCCAAGTGATGCCATATGGAGTACTATCATTATAATTGTTGCATCAAATCCTAGAAAGTTTACAATGAGCACAATCCACCCCTGAGCCCTGAAGAACCTTTAGCAATAATCATTGGCTTACACAAGTCACATTTTTTTTAAAAATGTATTTGTTTTTTAATTTATGGAATAAAACACGCATTTTCATAACATAATATGATAAAAAAGATAACTGCACATGAAACTACAAATCTATTATGTACAACTTGCTATTCCCTTTAACATAAAATAGTTATCAGGTAAATTTCTTTTTTCTTCCTCTGCTCTGCCCTAGAGATGGTTATTATTAGACACAGATAGACATATATATGTATATGTATAACGTATATTATATATAAAATTATTTTATACCTACTTCAATTAATTCTTTCTCTGGAATTCTTTCTTCGTGTGTCCTTTATTTGTAATTTATGTATGTATAATACTCAAAATGACGTTCCCCTAAGAATTTCGGGTGGGTGACTGTGGCAATTATGCATAAAACACCAGACTCTTGAATCGATGCCACGCCTAGGTGTCCCACCCCCGAGGCAGAATCTAGGAAAATAGATTCCGAAGCCCAAAGAGGACTAGGTGAGGTTTAGGTAATAGTCTTAATCAGCAAATCTTCGGGTAACACAAACTCATTCACAGACGGAGGCCGGCAGTGCTGCGGTCTTGGACGAGGAGAGGGAACGGGGGCTGGGGCCACAATTATGCCTTTGACACCTGAGACCTGTACAGCAGTAGAGGTAGTATGACTCTGGGGTGGGCTGAAATGACAAGATGGCAGTGGGGTGCTTTTGGTCTGTCCTAAATCCATTCCGGGGTTGGCCTTTCTTCCCCTTTAGAGTTAAAGGGTCCCAGGCCACAAGTTTACCTCTATCTGGAAGCTAAATGGTTTTTCCCTCCTTCTTTCCGAGATGACCTGTTCCTGAGCGGGGCAAACAGAGATGTCCAGGTTCAAGTAATCCCCTGGTCTTACTTCTCTAGGAGAAGCTGGGGCTGAGCGAAAGGGGAATATTTCTGCGTAGGGAGAGGGAGGAAAAACTCTGTGTGTGTGTGTGTGTGTGGGTGTGTGGGTGTGTGTGGGTGGGTGTGTGTGTGTGGGTGGGTGTGTGGGTGGGTGGGTGTGTGGGTGTGGGTGTGTGTGGGGGGGGGGGGGGGGTGGGGGTGTGGGGGTGGGTGGGTGGGGGTGTGGGTGTGGGTGTGTGGGTGTGTGTGGGTGGGTGTACGCGCGCGCGTTGCGTACGGACTGGATTTCCTAGTGACAGCTTACCTAGGCTGGAGCCGGGCAGAAAAGGTGGAAGTGCTGTCCCCAGAATCCAGACTCGCCACCTGGCTGTTGGATACTTGGCCGTCACACGGTGCAAGCAGCTTGTCCCCGACTGGAGCTGGGGGTGGGGGGTGGGAGGAGTGGAGGGATGAGAGCCCAGGTGCCGGCGGTCAGTGGCTGACCGTGGCATCCACGGTTGCTTAGATGGTCTCTGCCCAGCGCCCACCTATGAGTGTCACTTGTGGAGGCCCTCTGGCACCGGGAGCTCCTCCAAGTGCCGGTGGCACAGTTGGTGGGCGACTCCTCTGCAGTCTTGGCTGCCCCCTGGCCATTCTGCCAATCATTATAAACCCTGACCCCAGGCCCGGAGCCGGAGATACGCCGCCCGGACCCTAACCCGCCCTCTGCAGAGACAAAGCTCTCATTAGGGGCGGGCCCTCGGCGACCACGAGCCAATCACCGTGCTGCCGGCTGATCAGTTTCAGCTCGGTCAGTTTCCCCTCCCCCCCCACCTCCCCAAGACTTCGCGGATGGTGAAGGGTTCTAGAACCGGCTGGGCTCGGCAGTCTAGGCCCCGCAGGACGCAGGCTCGGACCCCGGGGGGAAGGGGTCAGGAAGGGGCTGCGACAGGGGGGAGGGCTCCCTTTTGACCAGAGGGCCTCCGCCCCATTGGCGCCTCCGTACGGGCCCCGGGACCTTCCGCCAAGGACGGTAGTGGGTGCTCCGACCTGCTACACACGAGGAAACTGAGGCTCCCCAAGAAGGAATTTAGAGCTGGGCCTCAGAAGCGCCCCGGTGCGACCCCCTCCTTTGACAGCGGAGGAAACTGAGGCTCTCAGAGGTGAAGGGACGCGGCCCGGAGGTCAGAACCGCTATTTGAACCTAGGGCCGCCCGATGCAGAACCCCCTCAGGACCCCCCCCGACCCAGGACCATCCCCTGAGTCGGCGGAGAAACTGAGGCTCGGACAGGCGCCAGGGTCTCTGTGGCCGAAACGATCAAGGGAGGGTGTGTAAGGAAGGTGACCTCAGTTTCCCTTTTCGTTAAAGGGCGTGAGCTCGTGCACACCGGTTAAGTACCCCCTCCCCCAGTCTCCGCTACCCAGAATTCCTCGGAGAGGGGGAGGGGGAGAGGAAGGAATGAGCTCGGCCCGGAGCCCGGGTGGGTGTGGTCCCCGGAGTCCTGCTCGCCGCGGAGTGAGAGGCGCTGTCTTCACGTAGCGCTCCTAGAGGAGAGTGTCGGGGAAGGTGGAGAGGGCCTGGGGGAGGGGGAGGGATCCAGGAGGAAGGGGCCCTGGACTGCTGAATGCACCTGCATGGGGGTTGGGGGATAGAGGACGCAGACCTGGGCGGGGGGGGGGGGAACCCCTGGGAGTACATACGGGGGGGGGGGCTGGGCGGGCAGAGGGGCCAAGTGCAACGGGGAGGGTCCTGGGGGAGAGGCATGGTGTGCTGACAGCAGCTCTGGGGGTCCTGGGGAGTAGCAGGGCAGAGCATGGGCCTCTTACCTCGGATCTCTTTCTCCAGTCTCCCCTCCGCACCTAGCACGTCCTGGGAGAGATGGTCAGGTCACAGAGCAGATCCCGGGCATCATCCCACCAGGTGAGGGAGACCTTCGTCATTGGCCTCAGCAGTTGCGCAGGAGCCGAAGGTTTTGGGGAGGGGAAGAAAAATAGCATTTGTTAGGCGCCTGCTAAGCGCCAGACACTCTTCAAAGTGATTTACAAATATTAACTTGATCTTTGCAATCCTTTGAGATAGCGAGGTAGGTGCTGTTATGGCCTCTTATTTTACAAATGAGGAAACTGAGGTGAAGTGACCTGCCCAGGGTTACAGCTTGTAAGTGTCTGAGGCTGGATTTGAACTCAGGTTTTTCTGTCTCCAGGCACAGGGACTGCAGGTCTGGAAAACTCCCCTGCCTCCCTCTCCACCCCTTTGGAGAGGGTACAGTGTTGATTTAACCCTGGGTTTCTTAGGTAGAGCTAAGTGAGGCAGTAGCAGTAGCTGTCTGGCTGCAGGTAGTATAGAATGGCTTGGGGTTCAGCCCAGCTTCTGCCCTGCTTCTTCCCGATTTGATTTGTGGATTTCCTTTCTGTGCAGAATTGGTGGGGCAGAGGGGCCAGGGGCACAAGGCATTGTTCCTGTCTTTGAAGGTGTGGAGGGGCCTGGGGACAGGGCATGCAGACATGGCAGCCTAGGTCTCTGCTCTTCCATATTCTCTACTTCGGTTAAACATGAGCATTGTGAGGAAAGGAGGAAGGAAGGAAGGAAAGAAGGGGCAGTAGATAACTCCCATGTGTTCTATTGGTCTGTGGTTCTTTAAAATTGGCTTTTAAAATTCAGTCTTTAATAACTCAAGAAGAGCTTTTCCACCCACATAGCAGAACTCAGAAGAGAATTCTATTTGAAACAAAATTTCCATTTCATTCACTTTCTTTCTTTCTTTCTTTTTTAAAGGCAGTTGGCCTTGAGTGACTTACCCAGGGCTCACACAGCTAGTGTCAGAGGCCAGACACACACGCACACGCACACGCACACGCACACGCACGCACACGCACACGCACACACTCGAGCTTGAACTTCCCCATGGAACTTTCAAAGCTGACCTGTTTGTCTGTGCTCCCTTCAGAATCTTTTAACACTAACAGGACGAGGCTCATCATTGATGAAAACATATTATAATTTTACGTTGAAATAAAAATTTTCACCTTACAACCTCTTTTTTCTTTGCCTCACGGATAAGGAAAAATGCTGTGTCAGTGGATGCTGCTTCTTGATTTCAGGTCTTAAATTCTGGTCCTTTGCTATGTGATTAGATGGATGTCTTCCTGGTTTTAAATCTGTCATTCCAGCCTTAAATCCTGGAGAGCCCTGCTGGGGTCACGGGGCTCCACCCCCTCTTCCAGGGGGAGACTGTGGTGTCCACTTGGCTGCCCTGTGTGCCAGTCATAACAGGTGTGTGGACAGCTTGGGGGCAGGGGATGACATGTGGGTTAAAGGCTTCTGGATGAAGGAGAAGAACTGTGTGGGCTGAGCTCTAGGATGTGTATTTTAACCAATCAGGGCAAGTTAGGGATGAATCTGTTGACAGCAGGAGGCTTTGATGTCCAGGAAGAGGCCATGTGCAGTGGTGGGTAAAGCCCTGGACTTGGGGTCAGGGAGACTTGGGTTCAGAGCCCACCTCAGGCTTCCTCTTCCTCTCCTTGGGCCTCAGTTTCCTCATTTGTAAAATGAGGGGTTGAACTTCATGGCTTCTCAAGTCCCTGATCACTCTGGAGCTGCCATCCTCAGGTCAGTCATCTGGCCCAGTAATTTTCCATGATTGCCTCAATGGGTAGAATTTCCATTTCACTCCTGGGACGTAGATTTTGGTTGCTGTGTGTGTGTTTGGGGGGAAAGTTGCAGCATGATGTTCCGGGGGCACCTCTGGGGACATCTTGTCAAGGGGAGCAGAGCAGGGATGGAAAGTCACAATTGTCTGCCTGAGACAGCGAGTAACAGGGTCTCAAGTGATCACAGTGGAGCACTCAGGGGCGAGTGTCCAGCTGAGAGGTGCTCCCTGTGACTCCTGCCCAGTTGGTATCTGCCTCCACCTCCCCATGCCCGCCAGGGCTGATCCCTGCCTGAGCAGGATGTGTTTGGGGTTCCAGGAAGCTGTGACCTTCAAGGATGTGGCTGTGGTCTTCACCTGGGAGGAGTGGGGGCACCTTCATCCTGCACAGCAAGACCTGTACAGGGAGGTGATGCTAGACACCTATGAGGTCCTCGTGTCCCTGGGTAAGGAGCACTCAGGACGGTCTTGGGGTCTCCTTAAGCTCTCACCGGCTGCTGGCTGCTGGGCTGGGGGATCTGGGAGGTTCTCCTGGAGTCTTGGCTTTTGGGGAGAGGGCCTCCAGGCCTTGGGGATGGGGTTTTCTTTGCTTTGTGCAATGGGAGGGCGGGCTGGGGGCTGATCAGATGACTGAGGACATCCTGTCTGTGTCATCTACTGGGCCTGCTGTTTCTTGGCTTCTGAACAGGCCTTTCGGGCTGCAAACCCACTGTGATCTCCCGACTGGAGAGGGGAGAAGCACCATGGAGGCCAGAAAGAGGAGGCCACCAAAGCCACTGTCCCGGTGAGTGAGAGCTGCTCTTGTGCCTGGCCTGCTGCATCCTCTTCTCTCCTTCTGGCCAGGTTGCTTGCTCCCCCCCCCCACCCACCATGGACATCGTCTGATTTAGAATTAGAAAGAAAACCGAATTCCCAAGGCCTCTTGGCTTGACCCTGCCATTTCCCGTACATCCTACTCCAAGGGAAGGCAGGGTGGGCCAATAGTGTTCAGCTTGGGATCAGCCAGACCTGAGTTCAGATTCAGTCCAACCATATGTGATTAATCTCTCTCCAATTTTTTTCTCTTTATTTATATAACAAGCAAACGAATTACATAAACTCTTTTATAGAGAGAATATAAAGCATTTATTCAGTGCTTATTTATACCCAGCACTGTGGATACAAATACCAGCCCCCTAGACCATCCCTTCCCTCAAGGAGCTTACATTCTCATGATGAAAGACAAAGGTCAGTAAAGCTAGTGGGACAAAATGACAAATGATTGCACATGTCCAATCAATATCAAATTGCTTATTGTCTCAAGGAGGTGGGAGAAGAGGGGGGCAGGGAGAAAATTTGGAACTTAAAAAATTTTTAAAAAATGTTAAATTTTGTTTACATGTAGTTGGGGAAACATAAAATATTAAAAATGAATAAAACAATTAAAGCTCGTGGGAGAAGGGAGAGGTGAAGGGTTGGGTTACATCTGTGGTGGCATCTGTGGAAATGCCTGGGAAGGGGAATGGGGTTGTGGTTCCAGGGAACCTTACTTATTGGGAAATGTTGTATAGTTGTATTCATTTGGGCCTTGCCTCTGTTTTGGGAGGGAGACTCCTAGATATTTTATACATTCTGTCGTTGTTTTGAAAGGAGTTTCCTTTTTTCTATCTCTTCCTGCTGCATTTTGTTGACCTAGCACTGGGGATGGCCGATGAACATTGTGGGAGGTCTTTTGTTTCCCACTACTTTAGTAGAGTTGCTGTTTCAACTAATTTCGTTGGTTATTTGTTTCATTTTTGAGCCAAGCATGCTTTAAACCAGTGGTTCCAAATTTAAATAGAAACGGCGGTCACTACACTAAGGAAGGATCCCTGTAGGCTGTAGTGTGGATTTAGCAAATCACATCTTAACAGTCTTTGTCCTATTGGATTTTTGTTTATTCCTTTTAAGTATTTCTCAGTGAGAGTTTAATCGGCTTGGGCGTCTCTAAAGGATGTTGTGGTTGGGCTGTGACTCCTTTGCCTCTTTCGCTCATTCATAGTTTAGCTATTAGGGTGATGTTAATTTCATGGGCATTTGGTCAACTCTTATTTCTCTATTTTTGCAAACAATTTATATAATATTAGAATGAATTAATCTTTGAATTTTTGATAGAATACACTTATTTTTATTATATCTACCTGGTTCTGGGGTTTTTTTTTCCCCTTGGGGAACTTCTATGGCTTGTTCAGATTCCTATTTTGAGATTGGGTTTTTTAAATTCTTGATTTAATTTTCTATTAATCTATATATCATCTATTTGAAAATATTCATTCATTTCATTTATCATTTTTGTATGCATATAATTGGGCTACCTGGGTTCAGATTTGCTTTATTTCTTCTTTATTGGTTATGAGTTCTTTTTATTTTTGATTGATAATTTACTTTTTCTCTTTAAAAAAAAGATCACATTAGAAAATGGCTTATTTTATTAGTTTTTTAAAGTTCAGCTGTTTTATTCATCACCTTAGTGGATTTTTTGCTTTCAGTTGTACTTATTTCATTGACTTTTGGAGTTTGTATTTTTATGTCTAGTTGTAACTTTTTTGGCTTGTTGCTTTTATTTTTATTTTTTGTTGCCCAATTCGTTTGTCTCTTCTTTCTTTCTGTCCTTTTTTATTTTTGTTTTTTCCCCCAAGTGACTAAAGAAATAATCCCCCCCCCTTTCCCTCCCACTGTTTTGGCCATATTTTTCCAAAACTTTTGATAGGTTGTCTCATTGTTGTCATTTTCTTTGATGACATTATCTATTATTTCTATGATTCATTCTTTGACCCACCAATTCTTTAGAATTAAATTATTTACTATCTTAATTTGAATCCTTTCTTAAAAGGCATTTGGATGATTTTAATTTTTATTTGATGTCATCATCATTTAAAAGATGTTTGTATTTTGGGGTTTCTGCTTGGCTTGGTTCATTTCATTAGAAATCTTTGAATGTCCATTTTTATTCCTGTATGATTATGCTCATTTCTGCAAGTTAAGTTATTCTTGATTGTAAGACTTTTTCATTTGCCTTTTGGAGTGTCCTATTCCAAGATTTTTGGTGTTGTGTCATGAAGGGAAAACATGAGTTCTGATAGCTCCATTTTGTTTTTCATGGAGTCCAGTATTTGGACAAGCCTTTCTATGGCCTGTTCTAAACTATGAATTTTCTTTCCAGTTTTTTCCTTCAGAGTCTTCAATTGTAATTTTGCTAAAAATAAAAATTCTTGCTTCATTTCTTCCAGTTGTTGTTATAGTCCTTGTGGCTAAGTAAGCTTTTCAGAGCTCAGTCTTTGGTTTGTAAAATTACTTTTTTGGTCTTTTGGACTCCTTTTAATACATAATACTTCTTCCTTGTGTCTTGGTGTTTTCCTTTCAAAGCCATTCTGCCTGTGTTTGCTGGGGCTTGTCCTGAGCTCCCTGCTGAGAGCCTTCGCCTCACTGCCTCGGGGTTCTGTTCATTTGTGTGTGTGTGTGTGTGTGTGTGTGTGTGTGTGTGTGTGTGTGTGTGCACGCAGAGGAGCTTGTTTTTGTTTCTATCCACTTTTTTTTGTTCTTTCTGGGTACTTTTTCAGATATTTTCTGGGTACACGTCCACGTGTGTGTGAGTGTGTAAGAGCTTCTGCCTTTTACGTTACCATCTTCACTGGAAGGATGACATGAATCTTATTGCTTCTGTGGGATAGTGTTTTGCGGCGCTGCCCCTCCAGGCTGCACTGGGGCTGTCCCTTATATTGTCTTTAGATTCCCTCTTGAGCAGTATTCTGTCATGTATGAATGATAGTCATCCTTCTTTCTTGGGGAGGTAATCAGGATTAAGTGACTTGCCCACGGTCATACAGCTAATAAGTGTCTGAAGCCAGATTTGAATTCAGGTCCTCCCAACTCCAGGGTCAATCCTCTATCCACTTCATCACCTAGCTGCCCCTGAGAGTCATCCTTCTTAAGGAAGGAGATGGACTCTAATAGCTGGATGTAAAGCATTTACCTTTAGTAAGCAGTAGAGACCAGCCAATGTTGACCCTTTTTTTTTTTCCTTTCAGATTTCTGTAAACAGAAGGAGAGGTGTCCAACTGAAGAGCTGACTCCAGAAGAGAGCATTTCTGCAAGAGAATCATCCACACGAAATCTTGCAAAGGATGGCATCTGGGATTCCAGATTTGGGGAAGCCTGGGAATATCCTGTTCAGTTAGAGAGACAGAATGGGAGCAAGAAGAGACAATCCAGGCAGCTAGCCATCACCAGTGAAAAAACTGTTCGTCTTCCCAATGAACATACCACATTGGAGCAAAGCTTCAATGTGGAATCACCCTTGAATTCATTGCCAGTGATTTGCGCAGGAAGAAGTTTCCAGAAATGTGCTACGTATGGAAAGAGTTTCAAACCATTTTCTGACCTGATTCAGTTGAATAGAATCTCCTCAGGGAAGAAGGTTTATAAGTGTGGTAAGTACAGTGATTCTTCCAGGTATTGTCCAGATCCTATTCAGCATAAAAGAAAGCACACAAATACAAAGTTATTTGAATGTAATGATTGTGGGAAAGTACTTGGGAATAGCTCATCCCTAAGGAAACATCAGCTAATTCATACTGGAAATAAACCCTTTGAGTGCAGTGAGTGTGGGAGAGCATTCACTCAGAAAGGAAACCTCACTAAACATCAACGAATTCATACTGGAGAGAAGCCCTTTGAATGTGATGAATGTGGCAAAGCTTTCATCCAGAGGGGAAGCCTTATTGAGCATAAGAGAATTCACACTGGTGAGAAGCCCTTTACATGTAGTGAATGTGGGAAAAGCTTCAACCGGAAGACAAACCTTATGGGACATAAGAGAATTCATACGGGAGAAAAGCCATATGGATGTAATGATTGTGGGAAAACCTTTAGCAATCGTTCAGCCCTCAGGACACATCAGAAAAGTCATACTTCGAAGAAAACCTTTGAGTGCAGTGAATGTGGGATGTTTTTTAACCAAAGAGGGAACTTTACCATGCATCAGAGAATTCATTCCAAAGAGAAATTCTTCGAATGTGGTGAATGTAAGAAAACCTTCAGCCAGAGGGAAAGACTTATTGAGCACAAAAGAATTCATACTGGAGAGAAATTGTACAAATGTAATGACTGTGGAAAAGTCTTCAGCAAATGCATGTCCCTTAAGAGGCATCAGCTAATTCATACTGGAAAGAAACCATTTGAGTGCAGTGAATGTGGGATAGCTTTTAATCAGCGGGGCAACCTCATTAAGCATCAGAGAACCCATACCGGAGAAAAAGCTTTTGATTGTAATGAATGTGGGAAAGCCTTTAGTCAGAGGGTAACCCTTATTGAACACATGAGAATTCATACCGGAGAGAAACCTTTCACTTGTAATGAATGTGGGAAAAGTTTCAACTGGAGGACAGTTCTCACTGAACATAAGAAGATTCATACTGGAGAGAAACCTTATGAATGTAACGAATGTGGGAAAACCTTCAAGAGTACCTCAACCCTTAGATCCCATCAATTAATTCACACTGGAGAGAAACCCTTTGGGTGTTGTGTATGTGGAAAAGCCTTTAGCCAGAAAGGAAACCTTACCGTACACCAGAGAATTCATACTGGTGAGAAGCCCTTTGAATGTAATGAATGTGGAAAAGGCTTTGACCGAGGGGCAGCCCTTATTGATCATAAGAGAAGTCACACTGGAGAGAAGCCATATGGATGTGATGATTGTGGGAAAGCCTTTGCCACAGGCTCATCTCTCAGGTCACACCAGATAATTCACACTGGAAAGGAACTCTTCCATTGCCCTGAATGTGGGATGACATTTAGGTACTGTGGGAATCTTGCCACACATCGGAGAGCTCATGCGAGAGAAACCCTCTGAATGCAACGAATGTGGGAAATCCTACAATCAAAAGTGAATCCTTACAGAACACCAGAAAATTCACACTGAAGAAAAACAATATAAATATAGTAATTGTGAAAAGACCTTCCTCACAAACTCCTAATGTAGGAGCCATCATCTAATTCACATTGGAAGAAAGCTCTTTCAGTGGAATGACTGTGGAAAGGCTTTCAGTAGCAGCACATCCCTCATGAGGTATCGTAAGATTTACTTGGGAAATCAACCTTTTGGGTGAAAATCCTGTGGGAAAGTCTTTGACCTGAGGGTAACTCTTACTGCACATCACCAGCTGCATCATGGAGTGAAATCCTTTTGGTTGCAATGGACACGGAGAGACTTTTTACCAACAACCTCTCTATATCAGAGAATTCAGAGTAAAAAGAAATTGTATGATTGTGAGTGGTTAAAGGAAAGATTTTCTTCCTGCATCAGAAGGAAGTGGAGGATGCCAAGGAGAGAGAAAAAGGATCTGTAAGTCATTCATCACAGCTGAAAATCAGGTCATCATCTGGATGAAAGAGCTGGTATTGTAGCGTGTGACCCCTGATTTTCTGTAACTGTTCATAACTTCACATAATCAGGGTCACCCTTATTATGTTGTCATAAATTGATGAACAAATTTAATCGTGAACTCTGCTCCTTCGGCTATAAATATACTTGTTACCATTGACCAATGAATTCCGTCGTACTTAAAAGCTTAAAATAGTTCCTGTAGTAGAAGCAAATTCCAGAACCTGAAGGAAAGCCTTATTCAACCTAAGTAGCCCTTCCTTAGATTCCTCCCTATTCTTATCCAGTTTTTCCCTACCCTGCCTATTAAATCCTCCTACCTTTTTATTTCCTCCAGTGATAAAGTTATGGTACCACAAGACTGAAACACATGTAGAAACCCTCGTATTGCAACTGATCCAGCCAATGGCCGAGACTAATTTGGTTTGGGAGTTAGGCAGACAGGATCATACTTAGGGAGTGTCTGCAGAACTTGACCTATCCCCCCCCACATCAGCTTATGCTCGTGACTGGTGGGCCAGGCTATGCCAGTTGATCCAAAGATACAATAAAAACTGACGAAGCAGCAAGACTGCTCTCCAAGGGAAGCTGAAAGCATCAAGTCAGTGTTTAATAAACATTTGTGGAATTGAAGAATTTGTCTTTGACTCTTTGTTCTGTACTATGCAAAGGGGCACCGTCCCATCTAGCCCTTTCCTGTACTGTTCTTCTGTCTTGCCCTTTTTATCCCCTCAATTTCTAATCCTTAGCTACCAAAAAAAGAACTGCTATAAATATTTTTGTAGAAATAAGTTTTTTTCCCTTAAAAAAGTCCTTTTGGGATACAGACCTAGCAGTGGTATTGCTGGATCCAAAGGCATATGCAATTTTATAGCCTTTTGGGTATAATTCTAAATTGCTCTCCAGTATGGTTGGATCAGTTCATAGCTCTAGCAATAGTTACTTAATGTCCCAGTTTTCCCACATGCCTTTCAGCATTTATCATTTTCCTCTTTTGTCATATTAGCTAATCTGATAGGTGTGAGGTGGTACCTCACAGTTGCTTTAATTTGCATTTCTCTAATCAATAGTGATTTAGAGAGCATTTTTTTGTGTGACTATAGTTTTGATTTCTTTGAAAACTGCCTATTCATATCCTTTGACCCTTTATCAATTGGAGAATTACTTGTATTCTTGTAAGTTTGACTCAGATATCTATATATTTAAGAAATGAGGCCTTTATCAGTGATGCTTGCTATAAAATTTTTTCCCCAGGTTTTCTGCTTTCCTTCTATTTTTGGTTACATTGGTTTTGTTTGTGCAAAACCTTTTTAATTTTATATAATCAACATGATCCATTTACATTTAGTAATGCTCTCTATATCTTGTTTGGTCCCAAGTTCTTCCCTTATCTGTAGATCTGACAAGCAAACTATCCCATACTCTCCTAACTTGCCACACTGTTTTCCAGTTTTCTCAGTAACTTTTGTCCCAAAAGTTTGGATCTTTGAGTTTATCAAAGACTAGATTACTATGATCATTTCCTACAATATATTGTGTATCTAATCTGTTCCACTGACCCATCACTCTGTTTCTTAGCCAGTACCAAATTGTTTTGATAATTACCACTTTATAATAAAGTTTGAGATCCAGTAAAGCTAGGCTACCTTCACATTTTTTTTTTTTCATTTATTCCCTTGATATTCTGGACCTTTTGTTTTTCCAGATGAATTTTGTTATTTTTTTCCAGCTCTATAAAATAATTTTTTGGCAGTTTGGTATGGCACTGAGTAAGTGAATTAATTCAGGTAGAATTGTCATTTTGATTTTGTTGGCCGAGATTACCCATAAGCAATTAATACTTTTCCAATTGTTTAGATCTAACTTTATTTGTATGAAAAGTATTTTGTAATTGTGTTCATATAGTTCCTGGGTTTGTCTTGGCAGGTAGTCTCCCAAGTATCTTATGTTGTTTACAATTATTTTATTATCATTATTATTATTATTTTTTGTGAGGCAATTGGGGTTAAGTGACTTGCCCAGGGTCACACAGCTAGTAAGTGTCAATCCTCTGGTCTAAGACTGGATTTGAACTCAGGTCCTCCTGACTCCAGGGTTGGTGGTCTATTCACTGCACCACTTTCCTGCCCCTCTACAATTATTTTAAATGGACTTTTCTCTTTCTATTTCTTGCTACTGGACTTAGCAGTATATAGAAATGCTGATGATTTATGTGGGTTTACTTTGTGTCCTGCAACTTTGCTAAGATTGTTAATTATTTCAGCTAGTTTTTTAGTTGATTCTCTAAACAGACCATCATATCACCTGTAAAAAGTGATAGTTTGTTTCCTCATTGCCTATTCTAATTTCTTCCATTTCTTTTTCTTCTTTTATTGCTATAGCTACCTATACCTAATATTTCTAGAACAATATTGAATAATAGTGATAATGGGCATCCTTACTTCACTGCTGATTTTACTGTGAAGGCTTCTAGCTTATTCCCATTACAGATAATGCTTGCTGATGCTTTTAGTTACATATTATTTATTATTTTCAGGTAAGCTCCATTTATTTCTATGCTCACTAGTATAGGAATGGGTGCTGTATTTTGTCAAAAGCTTTTTCTGAATCTATGGAAATATCATATGATTTCAGTTGGTTTTGTTATTGACATGGTTAATTGTGCCGATAGTTTTCCTAATATTGAACCAGCCCTGCATTCATGGTATAAAGCACACCTAACCACAGCATATGATCCTTATGATATATTGCTATCATCTCCTTGCTAGTATTTTATTTAAAATCTTTGCATCAATATTCATTAGGAAAATTGGCTTATAGTTTTCTTTATTTTTGTTTTTGCTTTTCCTGGTTTAGGTATCAGCATCATATTTTTGTTGTAAAAAGAGTTTGGTGAGACTCCTTTGCCTATTTTTCCAAATAGTTTATGTGGGATTAATTGATCTTTGAATGTTTGGTAGAATTTTCTTCTGAATCCATCTGGCCTTGGGGATTTTTCTTTGGGAGCTCATTGATTTCTTGTTCAATTTCTTTTTCTAAGATTGGACTATTTAAGTATTTTATTTCCTCTTCTGTTAATCTGGGCAATTTACATTTTTGTCAATATTCATTCATTTAATTTAGATTGTCAGATTTATTGGCATGTAAGTGGTCAAAATAGTTCCTAATAATGGTTTTAATATCCTCTTTATTGGTGGTGAATTCACTCCTTTCATTTTTGATACTGGTATTTTGGTTTTTTTCTTTCCTTTTTAATATAAATTAACCAATGATTCATATATTTTATTGTTTCTCTCCCCCCATAAAACTAGCTTCTTGTTTTATTTATTAGTTCACTGATGTTCTTACTTTCAATTTTATTAATCTTTTCTTTGATTTTCAGGATTTCCAATTTGATGTTTAATTGAGGATTTTTAATTTGTTTTTTTTTTTACCAATTTTTTTACTTGCATGCCCAATTCATTGATCTGCTTTTTTCTCTATTTTATTGATGTAAGCACTTACAGATATAAATTTTCCCCTAAGTACTGCTTTGGCTGTATCCCACAAATTTTGATAAGTTGTCTCATTGTTTTCATACTCTTTAATGAAATTATTGATTGTTTCTGTGATTTGTTCTTTGACCTATTCATTGTTTAGGATTAGATTCCTTAGTTTCAAATTAATTTTTTATTTATCTTTCCACTGCCTTTTATTGAATGTGGTTTTTATTCTATTAAGATCTAAAAGGATGCATTTAATATTTCTGCTTTTCTGCATTTGGTTGTGAGGTTTTTATATCCTAACACATGGTCAATTTTTTTGTAGGTACCATGTACTTCTGAGAAAAAGGTATATTCCTTTCTATTCCCATTCAGTTTTCTCCAGAGATCTATCATATCTAACTTTTCTAGAATTCTATTCCCTTCTATTCCCTTCTTTCTTGGTTTTTTTTTGTTGTTGTTGTTGTTGTTAGATTTGTCTAGTTCTGAGAGGGTAAAATTGAGGCCCCTAGTATAGCTTTATTGTCTATTTCTTCCTGTTTCTAATTTAACTTCTTTAAAAATGTAGGTGCTATGCCATTGATGCATATATGTTTAGCATTGATATTACTTCATTGACTATGGTATCTTTTACGAAGCTATAGTTTCCTTCCTTATCTCTTTTAATTGGATTTATGTTTTGCTTTTGCTTTGTCGGAGATCATGATTGCTACCTCTGCTTTTTTTTTATTTTAGTTGAAGCATAATATATTCTGCTCCAGTCCCTTACCTATCCTCTGTGACTATGTCTCAGTGCTTCAAATGTGTTTCTTATAAATTGCATATTGTAGGATTCTGTTTTTTAATTCATTCTACTATCAATTTCTATTTTATGGGTGAGTTCAGAGGCATGATGTTTTGACATAAGCTCAGAGCATCATGTCAGCTAAAGAATTATGAACACTTCAATCTGCAGATGTGTGAAGACCAATTTCTGAAGCCTCTTAGTCTAGCTTCACACCCACTGGAGCCATCCTCACTCCCAATGTAACTTCAGTTGTAAAATGCACCCTCTTCAAGTTCAGGTTCAGTCTTCCTCTGCTTCAAAAACTCCAACATGAAAGCAGACACAAATTATCTGGTAGGCCAGCATTAGTGAGTCATGGACAGTGTTGCTGTAGAGTTGGAGGGAAAACTGATGGTCTTGAAACTACCAAGCACTCAAAGATCGCTAATAATACAAATGCCTCAGTTTGCAAATGAGTCACAAACAGGCCAGAGTCAACATGCTCTGCCTTCATTCATATTGTGTAAGTCCAATGACTTCCTTCATTCTCATTTCTTATGACAGCCCCATTAGAGAAAGCCAGTTGATGTTTGTGGATTGATTGGTTGGATAGCTTTCTGACTTTAAACCCATCTCGAACTTGCCTGCATATTCATACTTGACTCATGCTTTTGGCCTTTTATAAATTATTTAGCATTTTAAAGGATGAAAGCCTTACCTGTCAGTCTGTCTCCACAAACACAAACTTGTGACAATATAAATCATATTGTCCCTCTATAGAATGTAAGTTCCCTGAGGACACTCAGGTATCTGATTTTTATCTTTATAACCCAAGCACCTTGAACAGTGCCTTGCACAAAGTAAATACTTAATAACTACTTGTGGAAAGAAAGAAACACAACATTTTTATACAGAAAATCCATCAGAGCCTAAGTCCAAGAACAGGTGAAATAAGTGAGACAGTGAACTGATCTATGAAGGAAAGAGGAGATGGTGAGTGCAGGGTAGAGCCAACATGAGAGAATGTAGGCTTCCTGAGATCTTGATCAACACTCACTGGGCTGGTCACAATTTATTTCCATTGTCACCTTTAATACCAACTTAATTAGCAAGTATTTGTTAAACACCTCCTATGTGTCAGACACTCAGCTATATGCTAATGGTACAAGGACAAAAAGAAAACCATCACTATCTTTAAAGCTTTTACATTCTACTGGCAGCATATGAAAATTAGGAATGAATAGACTAATGAACAAAATAGCATTTATTTTTAAAAATTATTTTAATTTTTTTCAATCAGTAAAATTCCTACATTTTTCTTTTTAAAAATATTAATTGATTTATTTTGAGCTTTCAACATTCCCTTCCATAAGATTTTGAGTTCC